TTGGCGATTATATCAAGAGAGCTCTGACACTAATTCCCCCCCTCCCCCTCCCCCCCCATTCCCGGCAGTCGAGAGGGAGGGGGAGAGCGAGAGAGGAGGAGGGGGGGGGGAAGAAGGGAGAGAGGCGAAGGAGAAGGAGAAGAGAAGGGAAGAGAGAGAAAAAGAGAGGGAAAGGAAGAGAGAGAGAAAGGGGGGGAAGTGAAGAGGGAGAGAAAGAGGGGAGAAACGAAAAGAGAGAGAAAGAGGGGGAAAGGAAGAGAGAGAGAGAAAGAAGGGGAAGGGAAGAGAGAGAAAGGAGAAGGGAAGAGAGAAAGAGAAAGAGGGGAGAAGGGAAGAGAAAGAGAAAGAAGGGGAGGAAAGAGAAAGAGAAAAAAAAGAGGGGGAAAGGAAGAGAGAGAGAAAGAGGGGGGAAAAGAGAGAGAGAGAGAGAGAGAGAGAGAGAGAGAAGAGAAGGGGGGAGAGGGGAGAAGGAGGAAAGGGGGAGAGTGCCAGACACCCGCAGACAGCGATACTCCTGCACAGGAAAATCAGACAAATTATCAGCGAAGACTGGCGGGCGATTACTGGACGGGGGGGGGGGGGGGTCATTCCCTACGAGTCACTCCCTACGTGTCATTTCCTACGTGTCATTCCCTACGTGCCACTATTTAAATGACATTGGCGAGGGGCAGAGCAGAAGGGGGTCGGAAGAGGGGGGGTGGGGGTAAGGACAAGGGGCTTGAAAAGCAAGGTCGGGCTAGGGTGGGGGGAGAGGGGGGGGCAAGGGAGGGGAGGGGAGCTCGGAATGGCATTAGTATTCCGTGCGCATCGCGATGTTCGTCTGTCAAGGCTGGAGCGACGTGTGGCTAGTGACGTCACACGCACGGAGGTCGCTTGCACACTCATACATAGTGAAAGACACAGACTGGAAGACACTCGGTGAAAGACACAGTTAAAGACACATCATGAATGACACAGTGAAAGACACATAATGAAAGACACAGTTAAAGAAACATCATGAATGACACTCAGTGAAAGACACTTTATGAATGACACTCAGTGAAAGACACATAAAAAAAGTCAGAGTGAAAGATAGAGAGTGGAAGTCACATTCTGAAAGGGGGGAGAAAAGACACAGCATGAAAGACACATAGTGAAAGACAGACATGTAGCTCAAAGGCAGTGGCAACCAGAAACGAAACATGCATCCAAAAATAGTTGACATGCGTTGCCATGATTATCTCGGAGAGTAGATTAAGCTTAATAATGATCTAATCTTTCGCTCCTTAAACGCTTTCACTCATAGGAATGGTGATAGTAATGGTAATAATAGTAGTAGTAGTAGTAGTAGTAATAATAATAATAATAATAATAATAATAATAATAATAATAATATTAATAATAATAATAATAATAATAATAACAATAATATTATTAATAATAATAATATTAATAATAATAATAATAATAATAATAATAATGATAATGATAATAATAATGATAATAATGATAACAACAAATACAACAATAACATCAACAACCACAATAATGGTAATGATAATAATAAAAAAAACATATAGAAGTATATATATGTGTATATATATATATATATATATATATATATATATATATATATATATATATATATATATATATATATATATATATATATATACATATACATACATATATATACACATATAACTACAGAACAGAGGAAACATTTAAACGTACCCAGATTATCCACTCCTGTAAATGAGAAATGAGGTCTAGTGCTATTATGAGCAATATGAGTCATGTCAAGTAGTTTGCAATGATGCAACAACCCTTGGCCTTATATACATATGCAAATGAAGGTCCTATTTTTTATATACATATCTTTCTCCCTCTTTTTTTTTTCTTTAATCTTTTTTTTTCTACGCTCGTTACACTACATCTCAGAAAAGGCAACTGAATAAACGCAAAATATAAAATGAAATAGATACAACTAAATAAAAAAGCTAAAAAAAAGCAAATATGAATAAAGGAAATTAAAAAAAAAAGATTATTCAGATTTTAAAAAATTCGTTTCATATCATATCAATAATTCACACACACAAAAAATGTTTCCTGACTGTCCTGGGTCATCAAATCATATTTTTAGTCGTCATATTCATCAAATTCATATTCACTGATCACCTTAGGCTCCTACGTTATATTCTTAGTCATCACATTCATCATATTCATGTTTCCTGACTGTCCTGGGCTTCCACGTGATATTTTTAGTCATCATATTCATATTTCTTGACCATCCTAGGTCCTCACGTCATATTCTTAGTCATCACATTCATCATATTCATATTCCCTTGCCACCTGAGGCTCCCACGTCATTTTCTCATTCATCATATTCATCATTTTCGCGACATATTCTTAATCGTCATCTTCGTCATCTTCCTGTGAAAATGACGAAGATGACGACTATGATGGGAGAGGGGAAAAGGCAAAGCGAAAGATAAAAGGGAAAAGAGGAAATGGGAAAAAGGGATGAAGGAAAAAGGGAAATGGAAAAGGGAGAAGAAAAAAAGGCAAAAAAATAAAGGAAAAAAAAATGTCGAAAAAAGAAAAGACAGAAAAATAAAGCAAAAAGGAAAAGAAAGAAAGCAGAAAGCACGAAAAGGGATAAGGGAAAAGACAAAAGAGAAAATGCAAAAGACAACAACAAAAAAATAGGAAAATCCGTAGCCTTCGTTCGAACCCCCGCAGCGGGGGCTTGTTCGGACTCGTGTTCTTTGACTTCGTCTTTCTTCTTCTTCTTCTTCTTGTCTTTCTCTTCTTCTCTTTTGTGTTCTCCGACTTCGTCTTCTGCTTCTTCTTCTCCCTCCTCCTCCTCTTCCTCCTTCTCCTCTTCCTTCCCTTCTCCCTTTTCTTCCTCCTCCTCCTCTTCCTTCCTTTCTCCTTCCTCCTCCTCTTCCTCCTTCTCCTCTTCCTTCCTTTCTCCCTCTTCTTCCTCCTCCATTTCCCCTCTCCCTCCTCCTCTTCTCCCTTCCTTTCTCCTTCCGCTTCCTCCTCCTCTTCCTTCCCCTTTTCCTCCTCCTCTTTCTCCCCCTCTTCCTCCTCCTCTTCCTCCTCCTCTGTATCCGGGGCGACGAGTAAGAGCGAAAAGAGCAATAAAAAGGATGGATAAGGAGGACGAGAGAAGAAGAAGGAGAAGAAAGACGGAGAAGTGGTGGAGGAGAATAAAAGGGAGAGCAAAAGAAGGAGGAGAATTAATCAGAAGGAGGAAGAGGAGGAAGAGGAGGAAGAGGAGGAAGAGGAGGAGGAGGAAGAGGAGGTGTAGGAAGAGGAGGAGGAGGAAGAGGAGGAAGAGGAGGAAGAGGAGGAAGAAGAGGAAGAGTAGGAGGAGGAGGAGGTGGGAAGGAGGATGAGGAGGAAAGAAGGAGGAAGAGGAGGAGGAGGAAGAGGAGGAAGAGGAGGAAGAGGAGGGGGGGGGGGGGGTTGGACGAGGAAATTGGGCAAGAGATAGAATCGGGACAAGAGGCGCTTGAGGTTTACAAGGCCATAAGCGCAGTCAAGATTTACAGCATCTCTGGGCATCGAAGGATCAGATGGAGGAGGAAGGTGACACGCGGCGAGGAGGAGGAGGAGGAGGAGGAGGTGTAGGAAGAGGAGGAGGAGGAAGAGGAGGTGTAGGAAGAGGAGGAGGAGGAAGAGGAGGAGGAGGAGGAGGAAGAGGAGGAGGAGGAAGAGGAGGAGGAGGAGGAGGTGGGAAGGAGGATGAGGAGGAAAGAAGGAGGAAGAGGAGGAAGAGGAGGAGGAGGAAGAGGAGGTGTAGGAAGAGGAGGAGGAGGAAGAGGAGGAGGAGGAAGAGGAGGAAGAGGAGGAAGAGGAGGAAGAGGAGGTGTAGGAAGAGGAGGAGGAGGAGGTGGGAAGGAGGATGAGGAGGAAAGAAGGAGGAAGAGGAGGTGTAGGAAGAGGAGGAGGAGGAGGAAGAGGAGGTGTAGGAAGAGGAGGAGGAGGAAGAGGAGGAAGAGGAGGAGGAGGAAGAGGAGGAGGAGGAGGAAGAGGAGGAGGAGGAAGAGGAGGAGGAGGAAGAGGAGGAGGAGGAAGAGGAGGAAGAGGAGGTGTAGGAAGAGGAGGAGGAGGAAGAGGAGGAAGAGGAGGAGGAGGAGGAAGAGGAGGAGGAGGAGGAAGAGGAGGAGGAGGAGGTGGGAAGGAGGATGAGGAGGAAAGAAGGAGGAAGAGGAGGAAGAGGAGGAGGAGGAAGAGGAGGAGGAGGAGGAGGAGGAAGAGGAAGGAAGAGAGAAGGGGAGGTGGGGAGGGGAAGAGGGGAAGCAGGAGGGGGGGGGGGGGGTTGGACGAGGAAATTGGGCAAGAGATAGAATCGGGACAAGAGGCGCTTGAGGTTTACAAGGCCATAAGCGCAGTCAAGATTTACAGCATCTCTGGGCATCGAAGGATCAGACGGAGGAGGAAGGTGACACGCGGCGAGGAGGAGGAGGAGGAAGAGGGGGAGGAGGTGGGGGAGGGGGGAGGAGGTGGAGGAGGAGGAGGAGGAAGAGGAGGTAGGGGAGGAGGTGGGGGAGGGGGGAGGAGGAGGAGGTGGGGGAGGAAGAAGAGGAGGAGGAGGAAGAGGAGGAGGAGGAGGTGGGAAGGAGGATGAGGAGGAAAGAAGGAGGAAGAGGAGGTGTAGGAAGAGGAGGAGGAGGAAGAGGAGGAGGAGGAGGTGGGAAGGAGGATGAGGAGGAAAGAAGGAGGAAGAGGAGGTGGAGGAAGAGGAGGAGGAGGAAGAGGAGGAGGAGGAGGTGGGAAGGAGGATGAGGAGGAAAGAAGGAGGAAGAGGAGGTGTAGGAAGAGGAGGAGGAGGAGGTGGTGGAAAGAAGGAGAAAGTGGGTAAAAGGAATAAGAGATAAAAGAAAAAGAAAAAAAATCACGAAGAAGAAAAATCCCGAACGATAAACGAATAAACTAGGAAATAGAAAATGGAAAAGAGAAAACAGGAGAGGACCACCAATCATTAAAACCCGATCCCTCTCCGCCCCCAG